AGGTCAGGAACCTCAACAAAGATTTATTCCAGAATAAATTGCTTTGAGGTAGGTAGGCTGTAATTAGTCAGATTTCTTATGCAAATATTAGTTATTTTTCTTTGCAATTCAGATTGACATATTTTCTGTTGGAGGTGGGGGATCAGTACTTGCTTAGCTCTTTTTTAAGCAAGTTGAGACTGTGAATGGAAATGCCTACCTGAATGCAATCCTATAAAACACAATGGATAGGATCTTCATCAAGATGCATTTCTGGATAGCCATCTTGCCATACACAATGGGCAGTAATTGCATTTGACTTCTGCCTACACAGGTCCTAAAAGCAAAGAAGGCTGAGCAACTTCATACTGTAAAAGGGAAACAGCCCATCTGTATGTTGAGGATTATGACCTCATAGTATTGGACCCTAAAGCTTTAAAGACTAACTTAGCATTATTTTTCCTTACCTGGAAATATCACAAAATGGCTTACATTCAATCAATAAAAAGTATTACAATGGTGAAAATGATGTTTCATTAGCCCTATCTTTCAAGCTGGTGCTGCTTCCTTCTTCTCTCCCTGACAGGATAACCAATTCTTCTGACAGTCTCTCTGATGGGAGGATGGCTGTATGCAGGAACAAGCGGGCATTGTCCTTAAATCCACATATACTTATTTTTTGAAAAACAGTCTTTACTCAATTCTCTACAGTGAGGGATTGCTTCAGTCAAATGTCCACAGTGCACTTCCCCCATCCCCAAAGTCTTGTATACAGTCTCCAGAGAAAAAATAGAACATACAATGAGGAAATGAGTAATTAAAGGGAAACTGAGAAAGTATTTGCATCTCTGGATAGTTATATAATAAATAGATTGAGCTAAAATCCCCAAAGCTGATTCACAAAACTCAAACTACAGTTCAAATGCTCCTGAGTTAAGCAGTGGTTTGAGATGTGTTATGAAGTAGTTATTTAGAAAATGATACCCAAGTGTGCATGGAATTGTCTCTCAGAGTCCCCTATATGCTATTCTCCTGACAAATTCTCAGGATGCTTTTAAGCTTGGCAGATCTCTTTGTAGAAACAGTTTCCAAGCAAAGAAATTTAAAACAGAGTGGGTACTGTAATAAGACACGCATATCTTTGTATGCATATCAATGTAGATCTGATCTGGGCAAAGAGACAATCATATGGTAAAACTATGCTAGGAATAAACAAATTTAGTATTTTACATGAATGCATACCCTCCAAAGAATAACATTATCAAAATAATGCATATGTTCATGTGCTTGTGGACCCCCACACACAGCTCAATTACTGTATCTGCACTCTAAAATATGTAGCACAAAAACCCATTTCATCACATGATATACTGCTGTGTGAACTTTCTGAAGCAGGTCTCTTAACAGTCACATTGTTCAAGTTCCCTTATAGTGCACAAAAGTCTCAATTTGTAAAATACTAGGCATGATCCAGCAAAATTAAACACTTAAATATTAGTATCTCAATGAAAAACCCTCTGTTTAATTTAGTACAATGGGATTTAATTTTGGAAGGATGGTGTCTATTGTCTGTGGTTCATGAAGTGCATATTAAAAGCAGTCAAAGGTCAAAAGTGCTTGCATTAAAGAAACAGGTTTGCATTTTCATAGGCAGAGTATCTCATGTCCATTTTAATGATATTCCTTTTAAATTTCTTAACAAATAGCTGAAAGACTGTTAAGAACTGATGCACTACAACTCATTAACTTGAAGGGAGAAAAGAAGGGCAACACCTCATTTGGGCTAAATCAGAACTAAGGGCAATTAGGCACCATGTAACCGGAAGGCAGGCCAGCATTTTGTCCAGAGAGCTTCTGTTCTCCAGCTGTTAACTGGATACATGGAAAAAAAGTTCTAAGGCTAATTATATCATCTCTAGATAGAAGAGCTTTGTAAGCCAGGAAAAACATCTACGATTCCTCCAGATGAAATAGCTGCCATTTCTGCTTTCCTGTGGATTATTTTACAAACAATTGCAGGCATGAAGGAACAAATCATCTCCAATAGGTCTCTTGACACTTCCAATAATGTTATTTATTACCTGAAAAAGAGCTTTGGGCTAAATTGTTTTGTCTCTGAGTTACCTTTTTCTACCATTTTTTTCCCCTAGTAGCCCATCATCTAACAAAATGAAATGTGAAAGACAAAACCCCCACTTCACCAGAAACTGACAAGCTTTCGCTGTTTGCTGGGTTGTCGATCATGAAAGCAGCCCACACAGGTCGTCTCTCTCTCCCCAATCATGTTCTCATGTTTTTAAATGAGCTTGGCATTTTGCCAAGTGCTGGCAGATGCAGGGAAGGAAAAGGATAGCAAAGGAGGCATTTATTTTCTTCTCCTTTCCATGGGCATTTGATTTACTACTGGGGTCTCTCCATTTCAGGTCGTGACCATCTATACATCTCTCCAAACAGTAACTGACAGCTCTTTAAAAGATTTTTTCCCCCCATGAAGGTATGAAGAAAACTTCCTCCATCTTGAGATGAATTTAGAAAGGGAAACATATCCCTACTATCCTCTAGACATATATTTCAAAAATTTATAACTGCTCTTAATTTCTCTGTTTTTTTTTTAGAAATGTGACAAGGTTTGAAATAAGGAAGAACCAAGTTTTGGACCAAGCTTCTCTGTTCCTTGCTTCTAGTTTCAGATATAAAGGGGTCAACATCAGCTTCTGAAATGTCATTTCACTGCCCATTCTCCACTTGTGCCTTCCTGTTCCCTTCCAGTGAATTGGACAAAGCAGTGGGGAGAGGGTCAGGGGCTTCTAGGAAACATCACTGCAGACTGAGGCTGTTTACCATGAATGTGGCATTATAAAAAAGGATTCATACTCCTATATGGAACATTCTTTTCTTTCCTTCTGAAAAAAAGAAAAGAAAACTAGGAAAGTATCTGATTATTCTGAATTAGAATTGATACAGTGAGGCTGTGAATTCATTTTTCAATTAATATATTGATTACACATATTCTGATTACACATGCATTCACTTGGAGTTATCCCCACTGATTTCAATGAGATTCTACATTATATGGCCTAGGATTTGAAACTTAGAAACTGAAGGTTAAAGGGAGCATCTCAAGTGATCAGAGTGATGCAGGATTGGCTGTATGATTCCATCCTTTGGCTCTGTGGTTAATATGGGAAGCTAATGTGAGGGGCTGCCAACTTAGTTACCTCTCAGGACAGAAAACATCCTTGAAGCTTCTATTCTGCACTGGTTTTAGCCACTGAATAAGACTTGGAGCAATTTCTGTTATTGGGACATTTGCAAAGGTTGATCATAACACAAATTACTTTACTGACCAAAACAGCAGAATAAATTGGTGCCTTACAAATTATGGCACCAATTAACATAAATGAGTTATCATTAAATCTTGGATAAATCTGAATGCATAATCAAGCAAGAATTAATCCAGGAATCATGATGTGACTTAGCTATTGTTGCATCAAAACTAGACCTAATCACTGAAAATGGAAAGTCTCCATTGAAAAAGTCATATATTTGATTACCATAGTATATTTCTCTAGTTTAGTGGCCAATTCATCCAAAGTGATCAAATGCAGTAATAAATTACTGAACACAAAACTGAATCCAGAGGGAAAGGAACCAAGGCTTCACAATTGATTATGGCCATTACAAAATTGCTGAATCTTTTAAAACTATGTGGTGTAAGGTAAATTTCCAATACAATACTAATATAGGTTAGGAAAGACCTGTGGTATTAAAATGCAAAAAATAAAAATTTCCTGGTGCTACAGAAGCAGTATGTATTTTGTGCTTAAAATTATGCGCCAAGAAATTTATACAATAGAGATGCACATCGGAGTTATTGTGCATAAACAATTCTGATTTGAGAAGAGACAGAAAACTAAGTGGAGTTTTCTACCCACCACTGTCTCCTAGAAATCTTATGAAGCTACCTCTTCTCTCTCATTCAACATTGTTCAAACATTTTCAAGCACAAGAAATAATGGATGTTCTCTCTCCCTCCGAGAAACACAGGCTACTTTCCCAATAGTCACTTATACTGTCTTCTGGATGCACCAATCATTAGGCTGATCACCTTAATGAAGGCTGGGTGATGCTAGCAGTGACCAGTGGGGAAACAGCTAGAGATTCCTCAGGAAGCTGAATTCAGAAGCTAATAATTAATATTCCGCGAATGTCAAATATACCTATGTTATAATAAAACAGCATTAAAAACACAAGCAAGTAATATGAAAAATACGATGTCCCATATATGGGCAATACTATCTGCAAACATTGTATTAAAGACGGGTTAGTCTCCCACCTATAAAAAGAAATGAAAGACAAAATACACACACCCAGTATTGCATTGGACGTTCATCAAGGAATGTGTGTATAGTGATATTTAGGGCTTAATTGCTGTAGAGCAGCAGCATTCTTAAAAATATACAAAACAAGAACTCTCTTGTCAAGAAATAGTCTAATATTGCTCTTCATTATTCTTCCATCAATGCTTAAGACTTGAAGCAAACCTCAGGAAACTGTACTTTTCTGTAAGCCGTCAAATGGATGGAAAATATTTCTATTCAAGTAAATCCTTGGAAGTATTAACATGGGTTACCATATTCAGCTTCTTTTAAAAAAAGGTGCAATATATATATATATATATATCTTTATACATATATAGATGTATAGATGTACACTCCATAAACAGCCAAAATGCGATAGAAAGGCTTTGTTGTTGAAGCAGACAAAAATGATTATAGCCACATATATGGTATATATCTATTTCTGCTGTTCATGGACATTAATTTACCTAAAAATGAAGTCACAGAGAAGTAGATTATAACACTGATAATAAATTATGTGGCTGAGGCCAATGTTCCTCTGTTGCATTATAAAAATCACAGAATTTCACTTTTTGTGTTGTTGTTAAAATAAATGTCAGGTTTAAGTTTTAAAAGTGCAAGGTTGATCACTTTAAAAAGTGATAGTCATTAAAAAAAAAGTTACAGTGGCACCATCCCATTTACCAGCTGGACCTTCATTTCTTGAAGGCTGTTCATTATCTTCTTCTGGTGCCCAACAAGTGTGATTCCAAGACGCCTCAAATCCCTGTATGAAGAAAGCACATGTTGATTCCAAAGGCTGATACACTGAGATGTTGGCTGTACTTGATCAACCACGTATGTGTCTGTTTTGAATATCCACGTTTTCAAGTTACATCACTTAAAGCAGTTCAGAAAATCATAAGCATTATTTTGAAATCTTTTTTTCCTTTGAAAAAAGAAAAAGACCATCAGAAGATGACATGATTTCTTACTACTTCTGAGGCAGTATCAAATGGGAAAGCTTTTCTTGAACTCAAGAAATGTGAGAAAAGTGAGTGGGTATAGAAAAGGGAGAGTAAATTATTTTTCTACTAAGCCATCAACATAGTTCAGTTATATTCACCCTCCCCCCACCAAAAAATAAATCCGGTGAAAATATTTTTGCTGTTGAGAAATATTCATAGTGACAGATACAAACAGTCCAGTAAAAGCTTTAGCTCTTGATTCTCATGTTTTATGCTTTTTCACTCTGTAGAAAAGGAGGTTGACTTGGGACATCTGAGCCCATTTTTGTGCAATTTCTAGGGCTACCCTTCCTCATGAATAGAGAACAGAACAGTGCTCCCTCCTGTAAGAGGAACAAGCCAGGCATGAGTGTTTCCATTATTCTTTCTTTTCCTGTGCCTTGGGGAGTTGGATTGCTTATTTCAACTGGTAGATTCACTTCACCCACCCAATGAAGCCTTCATTAGCCCAAGTCAAGAGGAACATGAAAATGTAATCCAGTCATAGACAGCAGGACAGGGCAGCGTTTCAAGTTAAGGGAAATCTTGGAGACTGCAGCATCTGATGAAGCCTGCAAGCTTTTTTGTCAAGTTTTGGTTTGTAGCTCCCTGCCAGTTATGTACACAATATGATTTAGACAGAACAGTGGTCTTACTGTTGTAAGGCAGATTTTAGGGAAAACCAAAGATCACACCCCAGAAGCTGGTCAATTACATGCATATGCAGTTATTGACTGCAAAAACAAAAACAAAACAAAACCAAAAACTGACTTTCTGGAACTTCTTGTACATTTATTCTTCTGAGAACTTTATGAAGGAAAAATGTGAGCTGCATATAGTGACTACATACAAACTACAAGAGCAACAGAGCTATCTCTAGTGGAAAATCAGTTCCATTGGATACTTTTCTCTAGGCTATTTTCATTCCTGCTGGTCATTACAAAAGTTACTATTTCACAAATAATTGTTTTTCCTCTCTTCAGCCTCTTTTCTAATATATATATGTATACATATAAATATACATATAGTACTGTGCAAAAGTTTTAGGCAGGTGTGAAAACATGCTGTAAAGTAAGAATGCTTTCAATAATATATATTGCAATTGTTTATGGTTATCAGTTTACAAAATGCAAAGTGAGTGAACAGAAGAGAAATCTAAATCAAATCAATATTTGGTGTGACTACCCTTTGGCTTCAGAATAGCATTAATTCTTACACTTGCACACTTTGTACACTTGCAAAAAGTCAGGGAACTTGTAGGATTAGAGTCAGGTGTATGATTAACCATTATACCAAGCAGGTGCTAATGATCAT